CTCTGTCAAATAAATAAATAAAATCTTTTAAAAAAATCAATAGCTACACTTGGCAAGGGCGTACAGCAGCGATGTGATGGCTGCTTCTGGCCTAAGCAAGGGGAGACCAGACTCTCTTAGTGGTTTCAGGCAGAGACCCCAGCCCAATCTCTAAAGGAAGAGTGTGAAAGTCTCCCTCTCTCTCCTCTCTCTCTCTCTCTCTCTCACACACACACAAATACAGATACACATTCACACCACTCTAAAGCAGATTGGCTTCCACTGACTTCCTAACTGATCAACCTTGCCTATATTTGGTCGAGTTGGCTCATCTTTACCCTCTTGCCCCCTCCACTCATCCCCAGGAGCTCTGTATTTCCTGCCACCCCTGGCAGCTTGCTAATTCCCCTTGCTGGGTTTGGTTGCCCTCAATCCCAGCAGGACATATAATCAGCCTCAGGAAGTGATGAATACCAACTTACTCTCGATATTGTTCAGCCAGTGCTGAACAATATTTTTATTTTTATTGCTGATTACTCTGACTAACGAAATAAAGAACACTGTGCTTAGCTAATGTCCAATTAAACATTTGTTAAGGTCATCAAAATCTCCTGGCTTATTATCGCAGGTGACATTCTGAATCGATATCAGCAATAGAATCAATACCCAATTCCCTAAATACCAAATTCAGTAAGCACAGTGTCCAATTGTGAAAGGGCGAGAGGAAATATCCCTTCTCTTCCAGAATTACCAAGGGGCCAGCCAACCACCTTTATGTTGGTGAAGCTTGTTTATTTCTTGTATCTGCTAAATGCTCAGGCCTCTCACAGAACAAATGCAAAGGAAATCAGGCATGTCCCACGTGTCCAAGGGGAGCTCCAGCTTCTCTTCCCTGGAGGTAAGCAGTAAGTCAGCTCTGGAGTAGGATGTCAGCAAGCCATGGGAGACAGGCAAATGCCCTACTTACCATAGAAGAGGAATGCTTTGGTCATGGGATGATGTAGAAAGGTCCGGTTGATGGTGAAGAAACACACATCTGTCCCGCACTGGCCGAGCCTTCCAGTCTCCCCGGTCAGTGGGGACCACCAGAGCATGATGGGGTAGCTATCAGTTTCCAGTTGGGTTTTCCTATTCAAGGTCAGTGCTTCTTTCCTAGGCAGTGGATAGAGATGCGCAGACTCCTCTTCCATCTTTGCCTGTCCATCTGGTAAATCGGAATTTTTAAACTTCTTCCTTTCAAATTTTCCCAGTTCAACCACTACCTAAAAGAGAAGACAAGTATTACAGAGCCAGATGGTTTCATTGCCTCTTGCACGTCTCCCATTCATCTTGATGATGAAGCCTCGTTTTAGTTTTCTATTGCAGCTAGAACAAATCACCACAAACTCAGCAACTGAAAACAACACATTTATTGGGGTGCTTGGGTGGCTCACTTGGTTGAGCATCCAACTCTTGATTTCCACTCAGATCGTGATCTCAGGGTCATGATCTTGGGGTCTTGGGATTGAGCCCTGCATTGGGCCCCACACTCAGTGAGGAGTCTGCTTGAGATTCTCTCTCCCTCTGCCCCTCCCCCCGTTGTCTCTCTAAAATGTAAATAAATTTTAAAAAAAAGAAGAAGAAGAAAGTAACCAACACATTTATTATTGCATAGTCCTGGAGGTGAGAAGTCTGACCTGAGTCTCACTAGGCTAAAAGCAAGGCGTCAGCAGGGTTACATTCTTCTCTGGAAGCTCTCGAGAATCCATTTTCTTGCTTTCCTATCTTTTAGAGACACCCATCGCTTGGCTCGCCACCCTTTCTCCATCGTCAAAGCCAGCAATGTTGCCTCTCTCTGATGCTTATTCTGCTGTCACATCTCTGTCTGACCACAGCCAGGGAAGACTCTTCTCTTCTAAGGACTCACGTGATGACACTGGGCCCACACTGATAATTCTGGATAATCTCCTCATCTCGAAGTGTCTCACCTTAATCCCATCTGCAAGAGCCCTTCTGCCACGTGAATTTACATACCCACAAGTTCCAAAGATTAGGGTGCTGACAAAATATTTATCAACAAGCATGCTTAATTCTACTAAACACAAGCCAGCTACATTTCTGCATTTCGTCGGCATATAGAGTACCCGGAAATACTTCTGTCTCTTAATGAAACCCGTGAGAGTCAGGGCTATTATCTGGCTCTTACTCGAGACTGCATTCTAGGGAGATTTCGTTATAAATCACCAACTGGTTTCTTTTTATTACAGTTAAAGGAGTCATAACACAAGTCTTCTATTTCTAATAATTTCTACTGTGGCATCAAGTGAAGTCTACCATGAGTACTGGGCTCCCCTCCATGTAAAACCATGTTTCTTTCTTTCTTTTAGGATGGTCTGGGTCACTGGATAGCTAGGCCATCAGTAATAAGAGTCTAGAGAGCAGGGCGGGCAGAGCGGACACAGATGGACAGCGATTCCCCACAGGTGATGGAAGCTCAGAAATGACATGCATACCAAAAACATGGCAATGTCTTCTGACATCAAAAGAAAAGCTCTTAGGGACGCCTGCATGGTTTAGTCGGTTAAGCATCTGCCTTCGGCTCAGGTCATGATCCCAGGGTCCTGGAATCGAGTCCTGCATCGGGCTCCCTGCTCAGCGGGGAGCCTGCTTCTCCCTCTCCCTCTGCTGCTCCCCCCTGCTCATTCTCTCTCTTGCTCTCTCAAATATATAAATACAAAAAAAAAATCTTAGAAAAAAAGGAAAGCTCTTAGCTTCGACACAGCCATTCCTCATAACTGAAAAAAGTGCCAAAGTAATTGTCTGGTAAGATCAAAGCTCTGGTAACTTCCCACAGAGAGTAGAGAACTCCAGCCCCTCCCGCACAAGCCCGGACACCCACAAGACAGACGAAGAGGGAGTCAAGTATTTCCTCCAACCAGAATCCTGATCTGGCAGCAGAAGGTGGCACAAGTCCAGCGCCAGCCTGTCTGCCAAAGTACTTTTATACGCATTATCTCATTCAATCTTGATCAAGAGGAAAAAGCCCAGAGAACACCTCTGTTTCCATCAGCCCCACACCTGAACTGCTCACATCCACAAATAATCTTTAGAAGTCTTTTGGATTTCCAAATGGATAGCTGGTGCTTGAATGGGTCCAAACTATATCTGAATTCGTATCTATACTTTTTCTATTGCTGTGCCATTTTTACTTTAATTTGAAATCAGTAATGAACTTCAGAATCACCGACAAAATGAAATAGATGGCAAGACTAAAAAATGCTGCAGTTCAAACACCCACATTCAGGGATGCCTGGGTGGCTCAGTCAGTTAAGCATCTGCCTTCGGCTCAGGTCATGATCCCAGGATCCTGAGATCGAGTCCACATCGGGCTCCCTGCTCAGGGGGCAGTCTGCTTCTCCCTCTCCCTCTGCCTGCCTGTCTACCTACTTGTAATCTCTCTCTCTCTGTCGAATAAATAAATAAAATCTTTAAAAAAAAAAAAAAGAATGACAAATGTATTAATGCGGATGCTTGTGTTCCACAGAATGGATGTGCTTATTCTTAGAATACACACGGCTTCTTCAAGAATGCCATCTTTCACAAGTCATCGTGATAGGGGGCTTTGAGAAATCCATCTACATTTGACCCAGTAAGACAGACGGAGCTCTACTTTCTCTTTTTCTAGAACCAGGACCCTACAAGAGTCATAAATTGACCCCCTACTCACTGATTTTGTCTCTACCTGACACACCCACTCACTAAACCTCAGTTTTATCTATTGACAAAAAGAGTATTTCCCCTGCCTTAGACAGAAAACTCCCCAATCCTGAGAGATTAAGCAAAAAGTAAAGTACTTGGAGAGAACAGGGGTGGGTTGAGGGCGGGAAGGTTGGAATGGCTCAGCAATCGACACTAAGCAACCCAAATTCTTGCTACCTGGAGTGTGACAAGCAGAAAGACGGAGGCTGAGATGCATAGGCAAGATGCCAAAAGCTTCCTCCTCTGAATCCACACCATGCTGCCCGGCCCTGGGTGACTGACAGAGGGCTAGCCTGGTTACCAGGTGTTCTCGAGTCGCCCCACAGCCCAAGACAACTTCACGTGGAGGAACCATCTGGGTACAAATTTCTTCCACTGTCATTCCTGCTGGGACCTGGTTTCCATGAAGGACTGAGATCCCAGGTTCTGCAAGGTCCTGGCTTGGCATCGAGCGGGAACAGTATGCAGTCTTCTTAAGCTATCAACAGAGCAGCTGGAGATTCTTCAAACCAGAAGGCATCAAAAAATTCTGTAACAAATGAATAATTTTTTAGCCATAGTGCAGAAGATTTAATAAATGTAGTCTTTCAGGGTTATCACATAGAAACCTCACACTTTAAAACTAAAAGGAACCTTTGAGATCTGAGATACCTCACTCCTAGATAAGGAAACCAAAATCAGAGAGGTAAAGTGACTTGGTCAAGGTCACACAGCCCATTAGAGGACTGCGACAGGTCTACAATTAGGTCCTGAGTCTAAAAATCTGTTTCCACTTAATTTTCTCTGCCATCAGAAGATTGAATTCCACAAGTCACGTATATGTATTCATTTTCTTCTACTTAGGTTTCAAAGGCGTAGAAAAGTGGAATAGAAATTACCATGATTGGGGAACCTGGGTGGCTTGGTTGGTTAAGCTTCTGACTCTTGGTTTCAGCTCAGGTCACCATCTCAGGGTTGTGAGACCAAGCCCTGTGTTGGGCTCCACACTGAGCACAGAGTCTACCTCCCCCGTGTGTGTTCTCTCCCTCTCTCTAAAAATAAAAATGAAAAAAAAAATTCCCAAAATTATCCACCCACTCCTGTAAAATTTAAGGAGAAAACAAATAAAAGTTCAGGCTTGGTCTGAAAATAGATCATGATCAACTGACGCAAATTTTCCCTAAGGAAAACAACTTCCGCCACAACATAAGGAATTCTGGTTATTGATATATTTATTCAGTCTTTTATGGCAAGTGTAACAAAGCAGCGGGGTGTGTGAACAATACGATTCTCTGGAAGTTCTGAAATAAGATTTCCATCTGTCTGAAATGTATGATCTTTTCAAAAAGTTTTAAAAATGAACTAAAGAGTTCCAAACAATGCCTTTTATTCCCAGGGCTCTGTGCAGTCAAATGTCTCGGTCAAATGACCCTGTGGAGTTTCAGAACAGAGCAAGGATCAACATTCCTGAACCTGTTTTATAGTACCCCAAATATCTGGTTCTAAGATCTGATTGTACATCTCCCAGATACAGCATTAAAGGTATAATTAGAAATATAAAAATGATGTAGAATTCTGGTTAAAAACATTAGCCTTAAAGGTGTACTCCCCTCCCGTGCATCTACCTTGATTTACTTTAAGTCCAGGGTAAGTCCTTCAGCAACAAAATGACTCTTGGTTTCAGAAATCACCGATTATGTGTTTTTCCTCTTTTCCCCATGGAACTCTTGCAATCCACAGTAACTAAGAGAACAGCTCTAGAGTCAGCCTGCCAGGATTCAAATCTCAACTCCCAGCTGGTTTAACCTAGCCTCTCAATATCTCGATTTCCAAAATGTAGATAATAAGGGTGCCTAATCAGGAAGTTATTGAGAATTATATGAGATGAGATTACTAAAGATTACTTATTCAGAGTGTGGTACATAAATGTCCAATAACTATTTGCTATCTTATTTTTAAATATTCATTATAGGGCGCCTGGGTGGCTCAGTTGGTTAAGCGACTGCCTTCGGCTCAGGTCATGATCCTGGAGTCCCTGGATCGAGTCCCGCATCGGGC